AATTGTATAAAGGGATCTTTAATAGTTTTCGAGATAATTGGTCAAACGTTGGACAATTTTAACTTCTGAGAAAATGGCACTAAGAGTTTTCAGAATAGGATACGTTAGGAAAACAAACTTTTTTTCACTAGAGACTAACTAAAGGCAACATACATCATAATAACAGGTTTCACTATCTTTTAGACAAGCCTGAGCTTTTCTTTGCTTCTTTAATGCCTCCTCTGACTTTTGCGAATTATCATATTCTGCCTAATTGTCAAGTTCTCAACATATCAGCAAGGGTTTTCCCAGGTGACCTACTCAATTTGTTCATCACCCTCTAACACAATTATATCTTCTACAAAAAAAAATACCGAAGTTTTTACAATGTTCAAATCAATTGTATTACTGCTCCAGCTCCAAACTTTAGGACCCAGCTCTTTTGACTTCAGATGAGAGTACTTAATGTTTATATAAGGAAATGGTGAAATGAAAAGTAACAGTACAGTAAGATTTGCTTTTTTAAAATAATGTAGTTGATATGGTCGTCAGACCTCGAATAAATTATTTTAAGAATATTTCGTAATACTTTGTGCATCAGATACTCCTTCAGAATGTTAGCAGATTTAAGTTTTTCTTTTCATACTTTTTGAGAGAGGTCATTTTGATAAATCTCAAACGCAGAAGAAGCACATTTAGTAATGTAGTATTCTTGTTTTAAGTTTGAGGTAATTTTGTTTTTTACGCACTGAAAATACTTTACTTTGAACCTACAATTTGTAATGAAGGTTCTCCGTTTCAGTTATTATACTCTTCAATATTGGGAAGATTATTAAATTCCATTGAAAAATAGGTACCTCTAATTTATTATCGTATTTGACAGACGGTTTTTTGGGCACACCGATATGGTGGACTGGCTTCACTTGCGAAACATGGCAGAGTTTGGCAATGCCTCTTCCATGTATTAATAGCTCCTAGGCAAAAAACCTACGAACAGTATTGCCTTGGAACTAATTAAATTTGAAGAATTTCAAGTGAATACGGAGAAAACTGAGTAATGTTAGAGAATGAATAAACATTCTTACGGCCGACTTCTCTCTTTCACGTTCCTAAGTATACAAATGCCGATTTTGAAATGAATGTGACCCACAACTTATTTTTATTAATCTTAACTAATACCTTATTCGCATAAACATACAAAACAGTCGCCTTTTATGTTTATATAGATTCGCATACAAAACGATTAGCAATGCAGAAGTGGAAGTGAACACAAATTAGACTGTTTGTGGAGTTGTAAAATCTTCAAAAATTAGGGGGGGGAAATATGGAAGTTTTAAGGAAATCCGGGAAAGGATCAAATAAAGTTGTAGATGATATTGCGATAGAATTTTCTGAACTATTGAGAATGATCCTGGATTAGAAAATAACCCAGAATAACTCCTTACAGATATTCTTTGTGCGTATTAGCAAAAATCGTAAAACAATTAGTTGTAATAACTAACAATTCGCATCAGCAATACATTCAAGTATTTTTTACGGTGATTAAAATTTTGAAATTGCTATATTACCAGTTTATATCACGTAAGAAGTTAACATACAAGGCCATTCGATGTTGGAAATTTTTGACGGAGTATTACATCAGCTACTACGATTCGTTGGTAAGTCCAAAGTTAGAAGGTAAGAACATATTTGCACTAAGCTACGCATGAAAGAAATTTTCAATACGTGAAAATATTTTTAAAACAGTTTACTGCGTCGGCGACGCCACATTCAACTAGTTAGTAATAAATCATTAGATCATTGCTGTTGGCTACGGATCTAATATAATTAAGCCTGTGCTAGCATTGCATAAAGCTTGGTCACACCCGTTTTTCAACGAAAACTTAATTAAAAACGAACAATTAATAAACAATGAATTATTAGTCGATTTCCGTCGAACTGATCGAATTTTTACTTGTGTGTGTTGTCATCGCGTCGGGCCAGATTACGTCCGTTTTCTCAGCGAAAGTACATGGTAATTTTTTTAACAATAAATCATTAGACCGATTCTACTGAGCTACGAATTGAATTCAACTTATGTGAACTAGCGTCGCGTCAAGCGCCCGTTCCTCTTTTTTCAACGGAAATCCGTAGCAATTAATCAGCACATAATTAGTTTTTTTCGGCGGTGCTGACGTGATTGTTCCGGCTTGACACAGTTCATTTATTTATTTCATTTATGTCAAAAACCGTTAAAAACTGTGTGACGAGATTGATGACAAAGCTAATTAATTAAAAATTACATTAAATTATCTCAAAGTTTGGTTATGTTGGTTCTTCATGTTTAACCACTGCGGCTGCGAATATATTTGAGACCATATTTTATTTTTGAACATGGAGGAATTCTGTATTTGAAATTATCCTCCAAAAGTAAATTGTCCCATTAGCACTATAGTCCATAGCTTGTATGCCGCCGCAGTGACGTCACTATGGGGACGCTCAAGTTCCGTATTAGAAGAAACCGTGAACAGCTGATGTACGTCAAGTGCACGGTTAAATTAACTCCTTATATAAGTAAGGCTTTATATGTAAAATCCTATGTATGCGGTTTAATCTCATACTCCCACTGGCTTTTACTTTCTGTAAATAAATCAAGGATTAAACAGTCCTCCGTAAAGAAGTTTAATACAAGAGCTGGGCGAAGTAATGTGGACACCTGACAAATACAAAATATTTATTTCTTAATTTGACGTTGGGCCACCATTTGCTTTTAGAGAACTTTCAATTCGTCGTGGAATAGATTTATTGACTGAATAGTTTCCAACGCAATGTTCTCCACTTTTGTACCAAAACATCCGCCAATTGCTTCAACGATGTTGCAGATGGAAATCTGCCCCTTACTCTAAAACGCCGTATAACGGTTCAATTATGTGGAGGCCTGGCGATTGTGCTGGTCAGGAAGGATGTTTGATGTTATTCTGTTGTTCCGTAAACCACGCCTGAACTTTTTTGCGTAGTGTATGAGCGCATTATCATCTTGGAATATGGATGTGTTTGGTGACAATAAACTCATTGTAAGCATTTCATTGTTGACGAGATTTTCGTTTGCAGTAATTCGGCCAGTAAGGGCAATTACTAATTAGGACCAGCTAAATACGATATAGACGCTCAAATCATAACGGAAGCTCCCCCATGCCTGACTGTAGGAAGCAGGAGGCCGGATCGTAGGTTTGTTTTGGGGTTCTCCAGATACGAACCCGGCCGTTCATTGGAAGCAATGTAACCTATGAATGTTCGAACCATGCCACATTATTCTCGTCATCAAGCGTTAAGGTTTTGCACACATTTCACCGATCGCATGCGTTCGCCGTCGCCGATCAAAGCGTATAATACACTGCAATGTAACCTTCAAAACGTGGCACGCCAACTGTGCAATGCAGCGGGTCGCAGAGTTTGCGCCTGCGCACGTGCGCTAACATGCAAAAAGAAGTAGCCTACTGAATTGCATGTTCATATTATTTTGTCCAACCCCTGTGTAACCAGTGAATTAACAAAATACACATTTTTATTGTTAATTTTGGAAATTTTGAATACCTAAAAGGAGGGTGTCACGGGTTGCTTGATATTTCATATCCCCCAAATTATTCCAGTTCGTTTACGTCAATACAATTAATATTATACCCAAATATATAAATTATTTTGTACCCAAAACAACCAAAAAATATTCCAAGAACAAACTTTCCTTTTGGCCAAATGTGATCTTGCTTTAAATCTATTGTTACCTTGTGTGATCGGTAATAGACTCAAATAGATATACAGAAAATTACTTGGTATACAAATATGTGCGATGTTAACAATAGGGACCCGCAGGAAACATTATGGGAATTACATAAATAGCAAGAGTTCAAGGAAAGGGAGTAGTAGCCAATCAGCAGAGAGGTAGGAGGAAATGGGCGCAGAACTACGAAGGAGAAACGAAATGGAAATAATGCTGCGCATTTGGAACTGAACAAGTGAACGCCGCGATTTATGAACTGTCGGGAGCAGAGGCTACCTAGCCGCGCAGACGATCGGATGGGAGATACGCGTGAGGGAGAACTGCTCGAGCTATGCGAGTCGGATATGCAAATTTGTGTGGGCGGGATAAGCCTTAAAAACATGGTGGCTATAGTAACGGGAATGCAACAAGACTTAATGAGGCGTTGGAATGTGTTGCTGATAACTGACGAATACAGCCAAAATAGACGTCCGAGAGTGCAGAGGATCAACAAACCAGGGAAGTGACAAAGAGACAGTAATAATATAAATATTTGTGGGCACGTCAAGTTCTGTTTAGGTATTAAGTAATTTAAATTAGTAAATTTCGGGTAAATGGTCATTCATGCACAGGGAAATCAAAAGGCGTATGTTTCTGTTGTAAATAATGGTATGAATGGGAAATGTTAATTGGTAAAGGTTTTCCTGCTATTTTTATATAAGCTTTATATGTATGATTTCTGTTTAAAGCTGAAGAGCTATAATTATAACGTTTGTTTCAAGGTTGGATATTTTTCATTTCATAATGGTAAATATAATCCCTAAATCCAAATAAATAAACATAAATATTCTGTACGTAAATTTCGTCGCCGCAACTCAGTACGGGGGTTCTGTCGGACCATCAATGAATGGTCTCAAGCTGGATATACCTTGACGAACGGATAGGGCATTATTGAAACAAATAAAATATTTCGCAGTATAAGATCTTATATGTTTAGAAAATTTAAAAATGCATAGATCGGAAAAGAAGATAATCCATCGGAGCGGCATGTCACTGTGCGGCCAATAGATTGGATCAATATTAAATATAACATATTGGATAGTTGTTATAGAAATTATAAAGCCAGTTCGTAATTAAGAAAATCCGCCAGACTTGGTGATAAAAAATGTGTGTTTTTTTTTTCTTTCACTGTGTAGTATGGTACATAGTTTTAACAAAAATATTAATGAAAAGTATGACTGAATTTAAAAATTAGAAATTAATGTCTATTGATTATTTTTTTCAGGTGTTCAAATTAAGAGGAAGACTACTCGGTTTCTCTTTCATCATAAATTTATTATAATCGACAAGAAAGTGCTCTTTCAGGGATCATGCAATTTCACTAACACTGCTCTTCGAGGAAATTGTGACAATTTCCTCATTACTTCCAACAAACAAATTGTTAAGGATTATGTTCAGTTTTATGAAGATCTGTGGAATGATATTCCTTAAACACACAAATATTTACAAAATACAGTATACAAATTTTCATTTAGTCGTTTTTGATTTTTTGCAACTTTTATGAAAGTGCCTTTTTAACTTCTTTGTGTTGTGTTGTGTTTGAGTAAAGTTGCATGTAATATTACATTGGTCATTTAAGTTGAGTGAATTCGTCATTTCAGATCTCTACAAATTTCTGTAATGCATAAGTTAATAAATGTGCCAATCTCATTTCATTCAAGATGTTTGCTTTTAATTGTTTTTCACAATGTTGCATATGACTTTGTCTTTCAGCAGTTCATTCCCAAGCTAGTGGTGCTGCAACAGCATAGTCGTATTCCCATTATTTCTAACTGCTCCGCTACATTATGCTACTACTTAAACATACATAAGTGTTTTGTACCAGCAAAAAACATTTTCCGCAGCGAAGCTCGAACTCAGGTGTTCAGAGTAAACCCGCCGTCACACATACCACTACGCCACATAAACTCCGCATGCTTCGAACTCGGGCTGACGGGTAAACAATGTCTCAACCCAAAATTGTTCCTTCCACGCAATTTTTGCTATGTTCGAAAATACGGCGAGTTCGTCGAAAATGGGACCTGCATCAATTTCTTTGCCATTTTCCTTGCTACAATTATTAAAAACATGTGGGACCGTTTTTAAGAAAATAATAGTTTGAAATTAAAACATAAATTCTATTTCACCCCAAATTGCGGGAAAACTAAAATTTTTGGAAAAAAATAATGAAACCTTATTTTAAGACGTTTCGATGAGCTGATTTCATTAAGGAAAACATTTTTCATCTTCAATATTGTAGAAGTAGGAAGACGTCCCCAAAAAATTTGAATTTTTGCAATTTTGAAACATTTACTGGTGCAACGAAAATGCGACCGTGCGTGGATTTCTTTACGCGTCTTTTGCTCTGTTAGCGGAAAGTATTTGGAGCCATTTTTAAGAAAAACTGAGGCTTCATGTAAAGCACCCCAAAAAAATCGAAATATGTGTTTCAAATTCATCGGTCAGATCGACCGAGGAGTATCAATTTGGGTGAAAATCCTGCTTGCGGTTTAGCCGGTAGCGTTGTTCACACCGGACATATTTGGCCATCAATCGTTTTTTCGGTATCAAGGACCGACCCATTGATCGTGGATTTTGGTTACAATTATTACAAGAACAAACTTTTTCCAGTGTTTCGTTTCCAGAACCCGGCAATAAGAATTTCTCTTTCAAAAATTTGACAGTTTTCCCCTACAGCATTTTTGAAACTTGTGTTAAACGAAAATTATATTTGCGCCTTCCTTCTTTCAAGCGTTCCTTGTTCTACCGGTGGGGGAAAAAATGAAGCGATTTTTTTTATAAACTGTGTAAATTTTAAACACAACTTACGCAAAAACGCCTTTTTTTAGGGCTTTTTTAAGATGTGTTTTTTAGATCAGATTTTGCTCAAAGCCAAAACCTCTACCTTCAGTTTTGTAGCTTTGAAATGTTAAATCTTTGCAATTTTTGAAAATATAGTACATTAGAAATAGCCTTTCACCACATTCTTTTAGCGCCCTTTGATAACACGAGAAAATTTGAAGAGACAAATTGAAACCCGTTTTTGAGAAAAAAAAATGTTTAATTAAAATTTAACGCGTAAACTACTATTTCCAAAATATATTGTACATGGCATTATTTCAAGATGTTTTTAAAGAACATATTTCATTAAGGAAACAATCTCTATCGGACAAACGTTTTGCCGTCAATCGATTTTTCGGTAACAAGGACCCCTAAAGCATGGATACTGTCTACACGTGTTAGAGGCAGTAACAGGGTCAATTACAGAAGTATTGCGCATTTTCTGGGGAAAATATATTTATTTATTAACAACTCTTCCCCTTCATCAATACACTTGCGGACGTGGGACCGCCACGTCTGGAAGGCTTCCTAAAAGTCCTCGACGAGAATGTCTCTCAGAAACGTAACATGCTTTTGAATGTTTTCACGGTTTCACAGTGATTTCCTATTATCTCTATCTGAAGAGAGACGAAAAAAAATGTCGCACGGAGCCAAGTCGGGACTGTAAAGGGGATGAAGGAAGCGAAAGACCAGGGGAAGAAACTGAGCATCGTTTTGATAAGAGCCTTGGTCATTCGCGCTTTCTTGAGGGGGGGGGATGATTTTGTGAGCCACTCGCTGCTCTGCCTTTTCAATTCTGGGTCGTACTCTAACATCCAGGATTAGTCTCAGGTTACGACAAAGTTAAGTCCGGCTCATTTTGAATCAAATCCAACAAACGAACACGGAAGCCCTTTCTGATGTTCCGTCAGCACTTTCGGCACAAGCTTCGCGCAGACCTGAGCTTTCACAGATCCTGAGCCACTATTCAATGTACCGAAATGTGGGCGTGTGCAGGGTATGAGGAATTTGCTGATGTTCAATCGCCGGTCCGGACACAAAACATGGCGCACACGATCCTCGTTTTCGTCGGTTCTGGCCGTTGTTGGACCAGAACGTGGTTCGTCGGCGACTTTGAGCCACCATCTACCACCGCTGACTAAACAATACACTGGAGCACCAGGTCCAGGCCAACAATATTGCATATTCTACAAATGTATTTTATATAGTGAATAAATCTTATGTGGAGAACACTAGGGTACAATCAAGTCATTTCAAATAACAAACTAAAATGAATTCTTACTTTATGTATTTTCAAACATTTGTATAATAAAAACTTATGTTAAAATTGTTCTGTACAAGCATTTTCTGGACACATGTCATCACTGATCGGATCTAAACATGGATATGGAGTAGCTGAAAGACAAGTCTACCTCCATAGAAGTACTTTTACATTGGTCTGCACTGTGTAAAAGTTTTACTCAATATAAATGTACATATTTAGCTTGGGGAGGGGGGGGGGGGGAACTAGATTGTTCTCTAGTTACAATAACTGCCAAAGAATAACTTTGTGAGTAGTTCTATTCCAATTTAAACCAATTTTGATTTTTACACATGTACTTGAGAACCATGCCAAACTAAATTAATAGATTCTTATTAATCCAGAGTAAATGGAAAAACACATACAAGGGACTAGTGGTGACCCTGTAAGAATGAAAATTGAAAGCATGTATAGCATTATGTACAAATAATTTTATTATGTATTAATTTTTGATACAGTATTTAAAATATTTTCATGGATCACAGTGAATCTTAATGTACATATACAGCATATCAAATCTCAATGCAAGAACTACAGTATTTTTCATTGCCATACAAACAAAACACTTATCACAATATATTAAGTGGTTATAAATACTCTAAATTTAAATTAATCACACAAGAAAAAATTCATGGAGATGGCATTAATGAAGATGGACAAAATTATACCTTATCCGATTCTCACCAGTAGATAAATCGCAAAGAGGAACAACAGCTACTTTTTTTACCTTATAAGAAAATCAAAAAAGGAGAAATTTCTTTCATGTTCTCTGCAATGGCATTTCAAATATGTACTGTTAATTAATATTTTATGAAAAATATTAATGGGCATAATAGTATAAACTGTAATATACAAAAAAGACCTCCATTGAAACCAAACACAATAATACATAGAAAAAATGTCTAGCCACTTTATCAGTAAAGGATGTGAAATAAACTAGTTTCACCACTGTTGCAACACAAATTCTTTCACTGATACATCCAGAAACATTTAAACACTACACAACAGCATGAAGTAACAATTATGATTTTAATACAGATTTCTAAACAGGAAACAGCAAATAGCTGTTCTACCTTCTTGTAAGCAGTCATTAATTTACACAGCCATTTCCATGCTCAGTTTAGGATATGGTTTGTAATCTTTTAATTCAAAATCATTAAACTGGAAATCTTCAATGTCATTAACATTCCGGATAATATGAAGTGTAGGAAAAGGGCGAGGGGTACGTTGCAACTGTTCACGCAGTGCTTCCACGTGATTCACGTAAACATGGTTGTCTCCAAGGGAATGAATAAATTCACCAGGCTGAAATGAAATGTTTGGTGATGAAAATAACATCTATTGTTAATAAGTAACTTAATTTTTAATGTAATATAACATAGTATTTGAGAACAATCAAATCATTGAAGGTCGATAACGTTTTAATGTAGTGCAATAAGAATAGTGTGGTGTATTGAAATGCAATTTTAATGTTATGTAAGTAGCTGGTACAGACAGAAGTTCCCAGACCACCTAGAGAGATGGTTGAGGGCTCACTGGTGAAAGGTTGAAATTTTTTTTTTGTAAATGTAGAAAGTGAAGGTATATATTTTTTGACATAGGATAAAGAATTTCTTACACAGCATTGTTCTAACACAAAATGTTTTGTTGTTCCAAATTTGGAATATAAAAGAAATACCTAAAGATTATTACAAAACTTGCATTTCTTTAAATACAAAATGTTGAGGCACTGAAACATGTATGCAAGATTTACACCTTGTTACAAGTTATTATATTGATCATTCTCTCTAATTTTATTCAACAAACAAGATCTCATAATGCTCAGTCATGTGAAAAATATACGAAGTTCATATTCACTTACCTGCAATCCTGTAACTTTAGCTATCATGTACGTAAGAAGAGAATAGCTAGCTATGTTAAATGGCACACCTAAGCCCATATCTGCAGACCGCTGGTACAACTGACAGGACAATTCTCCATTTGCAACAAAAAACTGAACTAAACAGTGGCAAGGTGGGAGAGCCATCAAAGGGATATCCAATGGATTCCAAGCACACATGATCATACGCCTGTCATCTGGTCTTGTTTTGATAGTATTAATAACTTCTTTCAACTGGTCAATGCCCTGACCGGTATAATCTGCATTCATGTCTTTATATTCGGCTCCAAAATGACGCCATTGAAACCCATACACTGGACCCAAGTCACCTAAAATGTACATACTCATATTAATCCGTAGAACACACACAATGCATAAAATGTTCTGTAATCTTTTTCTGTCAAAAGAAAGTGCTTCAATGAATGTATATTTAAATAAGGTTGACAATAGCATGTAATGCACTTTTCAGTACTATACTACTTTTAGCAACTTCTAAATGATGACACTTTTTCATTTTTAAACAGAATTTTTCCAAGAAAATAAATAAATTCCCCAAATTTTTCATGGTTTCAACAACACCCTGTTTCTTACACAATCCAGAGAATAACTTAAAACTATTTTTCAATTCTTTTTAATTCTTTACCAGGCAACATATTTTGACAGTGCAACCAGGTCAATAGTGTTCAGTGATTCCAAGAGTTCCTATGATGAAATACTTGTTGGATGTGGATAATGAAACAAAACATAATTTGATAGTTAACTTAAACAGCAATTCTAAATATTTTATATTTGTTTTTTAAACATTTTAATTGTTATATTAGAACTCACTATGTAACTTTAAACTTTCATAAATGCACAGGAATTGAAATTTAACTTCTGTCTCTTGGCTCTCACCGGTATTGGAATGCAACATTGTCAGAAATGTTTTTTGGCTGTCATGTCAGATTCCAACAAAAGGTCTGCATTCCTTGTTTAATGTACCTACCTCAAAACTTCCTAAAAAATAAATAAAAACACAAAATGCCACACTATGAGGCCTGACAACTGGACCCTGCTTTCCCAGTTATGGGCAACAAATCATAGTAATTTAAAAAAACCATTATTCAGTAAAGCATTTGTAAAAGTGATTGTTAAGAGTTAAAGTGAATAAAAACAAGGTAAACAATGTGAACAATCGCACCAAAAACTATCTTAATGAGTTCTATAGCATAAAGTATACCATTAACTATCAGGGATCAATAGATCCTGGTCTATAGACCCTATTCATTCATCCATTTTGGTGAAAATCCTCTGTTTTAGACATGTGTTTTTCACAGAAGAGAAAAAAAACATATTTAAGGCAGCAACTACCCACAAAATTCACAACTATTCACCCAGGCCCAGTGACTAAGATGTCAGGTTGGTTGAGTTTGGTCATGGCCTTCCTAATTGATTTCTGGGTACGCCCTTGCTGCTCCAGCTAGCAGCTAGCCAAATCGGCTGCCTCTTTCGTGGGGGGGGCAAGGCCCCCAGACCAAACACCCGTTGGTTTGGGCCACTGCCACGACTAATCCAAAAGCCTAGCAAAGGGCCAGTGTCTAGGATGCAATACCTCAGACAGTCAAGAAGTTACTGACTCCAGCAATGGAAGCCTGTGCTTGAGTGAATTCACCAAACGGATAGAGTAAATCAATGCCTAAAAAAATTCCCCACTAAAAGCATTTTCATTCATTTCAACGGTGTGATTAGGCTTTGAGGAAATAAAGATCAAAATTGTTGGAGGTTGGCTGAGAGTATGCATCCGAAGTATGTATTTCGTAGGTGTGAACAAAACGAATACAGGTACAAACACAAAGCTTTATAACACATACAAACATGAAATAAATTACCTTCAGCTCTATCTGAAAAGCCCAAAGAATCTAAATATTCTCTGGAGCTATTTGCATCCCAAATTCGAACGTTCTTTTCACTCAGTTCCCGAGAATTAGTAGAACCCCTGATGAACCAAAGCAACTCTTCCACCACTCCTCGCCAAAACACCCTTTTTGTTGTTAACAAAGGAAACGTACCTGAAATGAAAAAAAATAAACATTAAATCATCAAATTTGCCTTACAGAAAAGTACTTAAAGGGTCTTAAAAGTAATGGATTACCTACCGTTCCTCAAAGAGTACCGCATTTGAGCACCGAATAAAGCATAGGTACCGACACCTGTTCTATCATCTTTCCTCGCTCCACATTCTAAAATACGTTCTATCTGGTCCAGATATTGATATTCTTCGTGACGTGAGTTGCTTTCCGTGGTGGGGTAAGGTTTCCCAGTCGAATCTCGCTTCGCTTCCTCCTTCCGATTTATGCCCTTTCCGTTCACTCCCGGGTCAAGGTTTTCGATTTCATTCCCACTGATAACATGTAATGTTTTGCTCAAAACACTATTTGCCTTTGGAGACGAAATATTATGTCCATTTTCATTTAGAATATCCATATTCAAACGCTCGCACAGGTCCCAGTGGTTGAACGACGTGCAGTAACACTAACTACATTTGCGATGCAACGTAACCCCCGCCCGTACACAGGAATAGGCGGGAAAAGTTTGCGGCGAAATAATAATAGGGCAATTATTTAAATTCGTTTATTTTACATTCCGGCAGCAAGTTTTATGTAAGCAATTTATTGTTAAGCATTTTCACTACAAAACAAGTAAAGCGTCTTCATCAAAGTCCATAGACAATTAATTCCAATCTTCTACAACCAACTCTTTGGCAATGCAACATCGTTGCTGCAAAAATATGTTGGTGGCGTACGGGAGCGATAGGAGGAATCATTCATGCCAGTTAAAAAGTTCATGAGGTTTATAATCAAATATCCACGTTTTTTGTGCCGAGGGCTCTAGTTTCAAATAGCAACTTTATGAGATAAAAAACCAACGAATTTCTTTGATGATGACGCTTTTTATTTTAATATTTATTTCCCAGTAAAGGACACATAATTTTAATTACACCTTATCAATCTATATCAATATGCTGAAACACTTAACTTGCTTCCAAATGTTAAAAGTTCATACCTTCATACCACAACTATCAACATAATCATTCGTCAGTAAACTAATAAATATAAGCATTCCCAAAATAATAATTGTTAAATATTGAACAAGATAAATATGTTATATTACAATCAAATTATGCTACATAACTGTATTCATCTGCAGAGTTTGGTGTGCGTTCTATATATTGTTTGTCAATTAAGGCTTCAATACATTTCTTTATCATGCTGATAGATGGTGAAAATGTGCCTTTGGACTGACTCAAAACTTCCTGAATCAGACAATTGTGCTTCAACATCTTCCTACTCTTCATTATTCTCACAATTGCTGCTTGCAAGTAGAGTTTCCTATCTTCGTCTACAGCTGACAATGTTTGTTCCACTTCTTGAGGAGTTTCTCGCTGAAGGGCTGCTGTTATTCTGAATTTTGTTCTTTTATTGCTGTACTCCAAATTAAGTTTTAATATTGTTTCAGGAGTGACATCTTGAGTACTACTGTGAAGGAGTTTTGATTCCAAAAGACTGGTAACATGCTTATTAAACTGCTCTGTATTCAATTGTAATGTATCCTGGATTTCCTTGCAGTTCAGTGAATCTGTTTTCTCAAATAATAGAAGAATTGCCATTTGAAAAGTTTGCATTGTAACTTGATATGGCTTTTTCAGGTAACCCAATTTGAGCTCACCCTGACAGAGATGATGAAGCCATGTAAGTCTCCTTCCATTAAAATGACTGTGATAAAATTTTTCAAACATTTGAACAGATTTTTCTAGTTCTTGGGGGACTGCAAATGGAGTGATGGATGTCTGTCCTAAAGGCCAAGCACCAGCTTGGAGTACATATATTGTAAATGATATTCCTAAATCCACTGTTTCTGATTTCAGATATGCACTAAACTTGTTATTTAGATCAGTAGAAACTGTGATGTCATTGAACATACGTTGAAATTTATTGGTAAATTCATAACCACAAGCTTCCTTTAATCTGTTAATCATAGCTTCCTCAGCATCCATGGATTGACTTTGTTGATGAATCAACCGTTTTGCCAACATTCGGGAATAGAATTTTTGAAAAACATCTTTATCATCAATATATTTGAAAACTGTAATAGACTGAGCTAATCGATCATCTATTTCAGCTTCTGACATTCCTTTAGCAGATTTCTTCAATAAAAAGTCACAATATTTTGCAAGCATTTCTGGAGAACGTGAACTGACTTTTGGATTAATTCTGTAATTAATAACAGAGGAACAAGCTCTATCAAGTGCACCAATAAAAGACTGGTCACCAGAAAACACATCATTAATCATATCTTTATATTTCTTGTGTAAAGTAAGCATACTTTCCACAAACTGACAATAAATGTTTTCACCCTTCAAACTTGTGACACACTGAAGTCCTTGTTGCTTTATATGTTCGAACATCTCGTTTATGAGAAGGGGTATTCCTTGTGGAACCGAGCGTAATAATGAATACATGTATGTAAGATCACCTTTTCTTTCCTGCTGTACCATTGGTTTACATTCACCATGAAGGAACTGTAAGTGATCAGCTATCATATGCTGCTCACATTTTTCTTTCACTTTATCAAAGGAACTACAGTGAAGAAACTTTTGGCTTCGTAAGGTTTCTTCTTTCAGGCGCTGGGTTACTCTCTCCATATACATAGATACATCACACACTTGTAACAATCTACTTGCTTCCTGTTTGTAATATTCACCACTAGCTTGGAGAAATGGTGTTTCAAATATTTTCTGGTAAAGTAATAAATTTTCCTTTTTTTTATATTCTTCCACTGTAACAAATGACTGAATGACACCTTTAATGATTTCTGCTGTATTTGGATTTCCCTCACCTAGACGGTCCTCGTGTATGCCTTCTAACAGAAAATTAACCAAATTTTCTGTTAATGGCTCTATCATATTTTTCTTCCAAATCTCAAATCCCAACTCACCAATCTCCATTTGCTCTTGAGTATCTGGTGTGAGATTTCCATACACAATTTCAGCTTCAGATAATTTCTGCTTCTTAATGTGTTGCTGATTTAAATAGAGGTATAATCTATGAAGGTAATTAATGCCCAAGCTATATTCACTCCAAGCTTGATAATAACTTTTGAGCAAATTTGCCTTTCCATTGGATCTGACTTTTTCTAACAAATTCTTCACATGATTATCCAAAAATTGTTTTGTCTCCAAATACAGCCGATCAGCAAGTGGTTCTGGGTATGCAACACACAAAGAATACACATCGCTGAATCGGTCATTCCAAGTTGATCTAGGTACATTGCTCAAAGTTATAACACACTTCACAGTTTCTTGAAGTTCTTTCCAGGTCTCATTAAAGTTGACTCTTTTGGGTTTCAGAGACATGGTCACAAATCAAATAAAACTGCAAGTTCTCAGTTCATTCAGACATTTCAGTCAATTAATCTTTTAAAATCGTTCTAAATAATGATAAAAATTGCAAATTATTTTCCCGTACAGTTTCTGGAAAATTTGATGGCTCTAATAAATGTTCCTATAAACAGATATGATCAAAAGCCACTGGTAATTAAGACGATTCTAGATTAGTTACTGACAACACTGTTTCTGTTACTTTACTGACATGGTTCACTAATAAACACACACCCAATTCACTCGACAACAACGCTTCAGAAGCCCAACTCAATTAAGCACATAACCCAACAATATGCTCGGGCGACCACTTCCCTGCTTCCCGAGTCACTGTGAACAAATGCCTATCGCATGAAAATGGGTTGATAGTTTCCTCAGTTGGATACAATGTAATTCATATTACATTTACAAAGAATAAGACGATAAAATTGACGGCTTGAAATGTTCTGCAGAAACCGATGGTAGTTAAAAATCATTTCAACAAATTATAAATTTTCCTCATGACTCCGAATGCTGGTAATACTTGCAACACATCGCACATAGATAATACCAACGTCACCAACGCACCACATCGCCTTTTAAACATCTGCGCACTGCGAAGAGAAAATGCAAATAATTTCAGCTGTTGGCTGCCATGCAATGGTTTTGTTGCCATAGTAACGACGGAATGGTTTACGTACAGTGGTGTCACATTCCTCTGATTGTGAAGTGATAATTTTAGGAATTTCAAGACCGTCTTGACTATGACAGTCGGCTGAAAAATGTCCATTAATTTGGAAGGATATTACGTGTAATATCCACTAGCTTTACAGACTACAGTTTTCAACTTTAAAAGGTTGGAGACTCTTAAAGATGACTATGATATGTGAAGATGAAAGGAAAGACTTCATTTTAACAACTGCTGGTATGAATTATTTCATGGCATACATACAATGTACCATTGGATGGGTAATCAATAATTTATCAAATATATTCCAATATATTCTGTGGTCAAAGAATTGAAAACATTTATCTATTTATTTATATTTTGAAGTGTTTGGAAATGAGGCCATTCAAGGACTTGAATACAATAATAAATATTCACTTCTTAGATCATTACTTATTTTCTACCAACTTTTTTTTTCTTACTCTTCTTCAAGAAAAAGATAATTTTATTACTGTGAAAAAACGTCTAAAGAATTAATTATTTTATTGATTTTAATTTATTATTTATTCATAGACATTAAAGTAGATAGAACTTATGTTCCATAAATTTTGAGTTGTATCTCCTAAGGAGCAGAGCAACTCAGATGCAAATTAAACTTTTGAGTTAAATACTAAAAATGGAGCAAATTTAGTAAAGCAAGTTCATTTTGAGCTGAAGGGACATACAATTTTTTTGAAACAATTTTGTAATCCAGTTCTAAAAATATTTATAAGTGTTCCCAGGTTGTATTAAAAGAAATTTAATGGTGCTTCAACAAGAGACATACTTACTCATATTGTATGTACCAGTAATACAAAATTACGATAACACTCTTTTTACAAAAAAGAAAAATCATTTTGCTGGGGTAATAGTCATGATTCATGCAGAAATCTATCTACTGATTTCATATCTGAAATCAGTTTCTTTTTTTCAGGCACTGTTTTCAAGTTATGTGGATTTTATTTTTTGTACTGTTCTCCCCCGGCAGTGCCTCTCCATAACAATTACTATTCTAAATTAAAAAACACATTCCAGGAACATTCCAGTCAGAATAAAACAAAAAAGCAAATAAAGACCTATGGAATGTAATATACCGTATGAAAGAAGATTATTTGAAGACATAATATATATCAACAACATTATCTGTCTTTTGAGAATTTGAAAAGCTTATTTTTGCTCTTGTCATCAGTTTTGCACCCTCCTCCAGCTATAGTCCTCAAGTATTGAAGGCATCCATGTCCCGTCAAACTGCATTTGCAAGATCTTTATGATTGTGTGAAATCTTACACCATGTTCATCGGAAATATCAGTGCAGCTCTTGGGAAAATAATGTAAAAATGAAAAAAAAAAATGCACATTTAAGGACATGCTGCACCCTAATTTCATACATGCATTTTTCAGCTGTTGAATAAATTCTTCATAGTTGTAAGCTATTTTTTTTTTTTCCCTAGAAAATGTTGGTCATATTCATAGAACATATCCATTGGTTTTTTTCTTTTGATGCTAGACATTATTCAGATCAAGAAGTTCTCTAATTTGGAGACTCACAAACACACTATCCTTAATTTTTTTGGCCAAAATACCAGGTAACTTGTGTGATGTGAAAGATACATAAACCCATTTCCAGATGAATTTGTGGGTTTGACAAATTGTTTTAAAATACCTTGATGTGAAGTGGAGGTAGCAGAACTTCATCAATGGCTATCAATTTATCTTTTTGCATACTTTTTCTTCTATTTCCTGTACATGTTTCTTTTGTAATGGGAATTTTTACGTGGCTTTCCCACTCACCTATTTGGTTTGTCCATGTTGTATTCCCAGCACCCAGAAAACTACTTTCAAATCTTCACACATTTTCCACTAAATCTCATTGTATTTCACTAATTTGAGCAAGATTCAAAAAATCGTATTACTTTTTAATTATTATCATGTAGATAATTGGAATGGAAGGCATTATGTTCTCATTATGGAAAAGAATTCCTTTTACGTTATGATTTGACATCAGTGTTTCAAAACAGTTGTACATGACATTAATGAAACAACTAAGTTCAAAAAATTTCATTTGAAGAAAAAATTGCTTTTCAATAATTAGTTGTATGAAGGGGGCCAAACAATTATAAATGTTTGCAATTTTCAAACATTGAGATGTATCTATAAAAATCAGAACAGGGTCATATTTATAAGCATATTTTATTCTATGAAAGCAAAAAAAAATGGTTGACATTTTTGAGAAAATTTTGAAAACATTTTACGGGCTTCATGTAGAGTATGTCCTAAAATTTACTTAAATTTTCTTTAAACTTACTTAAACTTAAAGAATTCATTAAAAATTCACAGGGCCTTGACTTGGGACAAATTGATAGTGAAATATTAATTTTGAAAAAAAAAAAAAAAAAAACCATCTATGAATAGTTTCAGGGCTAGTGTTATTCACTGATGGACATCCATCTTCTTTGATCCTGCTCTTCCATAGATGGAAGCTAGGTAACCCATGTAGATGGATTCCGCAGTATTTTTATACTCTTCTCAATTTTCTGCCTTCCGCATTGCTTCTTCTAGGTCTTGCAATGGTATCTTTGGTTGCAGTGGTATATATCTGTTTCATGGCTGTTCCTCGGCCTCCTTTTTCCTTCTACTTTACCTTGAACTATCCGTTTCTCAAACCTTGCCCCATTCCTTCGAACGATGTGTCCGAGGAATCTCAATATTCCTTGTTTAACAATGTTTGCCAATCTCTGTTGAATGTTTTGTTGGTTTATGATTAAGAGGTTAGTCCATTTTTCAGTCCATGATACTCTCAACAGTTGACTGTAGGGCCACATTTTAAAAGCATTAATTCTTTTTACATCTGCTGTCTCAATAGATTTCTCTCAATACTTGTTCACTGTTGATGTTAATAAGATAGGAGAGACTTGTCTTACACCTTTCCTGGGTTTTAATTGATCTCTTGTGACTAATTGTGCGTCCTTACTGCTGCCCTTAATATAGATTCTGAATTAGGTGGATTAGATGTTCAGGAATACCCTCGTCTTGTAGAATGATCCGGAGTTTCTCCATTATGAGCAGTCAATGGCTTTATTGCAGTCTATGAAACACAATTCTAATGGATTATTGAATTCCTTGTTATTTTCTCCTTTGTCTGACATTTAAAATATTTTCTCTAGTTCTGCTGCCTTTGACAAGTCCAGCCTGTTCTAAAGGTATTTGGTTATCTAAGTAGTATCTTAGCCTTGCGTGGATAATATGCAATAATACTTTCGATGCATTTGAGATGAGTGATATAGTCCAATTGTTGCTGCAGTTCTCTGTTCTACCTTTCTTGTATAGTGGAATAAAGACTGATTCAGTCTAATCTCTTGGCCATATGCCTTTGGACAGTCATACACACAAAAAAAAAACCAACAAACCAGCAGTGTAACTATATTCAAAATTATATAGATCAATATTTCAACCTATGACTATTAGAGAAACAAATCTATAATGATCTAATTGTATGAAACAGCACATAAAATCTAGAATCATAAAATGCTTTTTGTAAGAAAAATTGGCCCTTTTATACCCTAGATTTAAAAAAAAAAAAATACTAATAGCCTATGGCTAATTTAAATAACATTATATTGTTTTGTTTACAAAATAGCATCATGGCATAATTTAAAATTTGAACAATTTTAGCAAAGCTTTATATAAGTTCAATAACAATAATTGAATGTATTAATTAATTTTATAACAATGTTAGATTATATTCTAGCATCAGCCCTTAAACATACTAATATTTAACAATAACATAACTCTTAACAATATCCATGACATACACTCTCATATTTTTGTACTCATTACCTGCCATCTACATACCTAACTATTACCTTGAAACAGATAGCTAATCTTTTTTTAAATTTTCCAACTGATACAGATTGCTTTATGACCTGTGGTGATTCATTGTACATTGTCAGTCCTTCATTACATACAGTTCTACATACTTTGCTGATTTGTACTTTTTCCTTATAAAATTGATTAGACTATCTTGTTGGGTACTGTTGTGCATCACTATTTTTTATTACTAATCTAAGTCTTCTGGTAAAAGTTTATTTTCTAATCTGTACATAACTGTTAGTAACCTACATTAATTTTTACTCCCTTTGAAATTAATAAATTAATAATTTTTAATATATTGTGGACATTCCACTATTTCTTTTATTTAAAACGGCTCTTATAATCTTGTTGAAGTGTATTCGTATCTTTTTAATTTCCTTTTTACTTTCCCGTACGTATATACGGAGTGATATACGTAGTATAGAGAACGTTATGTAATGCTGCGGAAAATTGTCTCGTCTGTCATTATTTTTAGATATTGTCCATGGAATGGTATGTCTCTCCACGATTTCTTTATCATTTTTTGTGTCTCACATTTCATGTTTGATAGCATCGGAAGTTAATTGTCTGTGCTATTCTGCGTGTCTTGCATAGTTTTCTTTGCAATGCTTCTTGCTACACTTACAATGCCTATGTTTCCCGTTTTTCTGTCAGATTTCATGATCTGCCTCATGAGAGGGTGATGCAGTTATAACTTTGTACAGTACTGGCAGACAAGTGTTTGGCCTGTAGTTCTTCGCCAAAGAGCTGTCTCCCGCTTTAGGCAGCCAATACGTGATGCCGTATGTGAGCCATTTCGAAAGTTCCTTTGGATTTTGTAATATTTTATTAACAGCCTTTGCTAAACGGGAATGTATTGCTGTTATTTTCTTAATCCAACAATTCTGGATCTTATCAATCCCAGGAGATTTCCAGTTTCATATGTTCTTAATTGCTTGGAAGAGGCCCTCTTCCGAGAATTCGTGAACATGATTCACTGTTGCCACAAGTTCATTGGCAGCATCAACTTAAAATTGAAGCCAATATGCATCATTGTAGTAGCATTTCTTTCCTCCCAGATTCGTGTCCAAAAGGCTTGGATGTCATCGTTTGAAGGTGTGACATCATTACCATTAGGTTTTTGAGTCCGATTGCGATAGAACCTCTTCGCGTCCGTTTCAAACAACCGGTTCTGCACTCGGAAATTTATTCTACGTTTGTAAAATCTAATTCGTTGAGATCATGCGTGGATTTTCTCTTTTAGCTTCTCAGCTACCATTAGCCTGCTTGTACTATTTTCAATTTGGTATTCCTGTTCAACATTGAATATTTTTCGTTGAACTTAACGGGGTTTGCGTTTGTTTAGAAGA